CTTGTCATAATTGCTGGGGAACTCTACAGTAAGCATTCTTCCTTGAATTCACTTTCACACAACTCTAATGGTAATGTATTGTTTGAGCTCATGGACCGACTAAACTTCGATGTTATCACGTCTGAGATAACAACCCATTACCCGTTCACTACAGGATATCGACTGGATATCCTTGACATAGCGTTATTCAAAGATGTCCGTTTGTCATTAGCATCCATAGAGACAATTATAGAGCTCAACTCGGACCATAGACAAGTCCTTCTACAGCTGGGCCAGCCCGCAGGTGAGGTTCTTCAGACCAAAACTATTGTGGACTGGCGCAAGTTCGAGATCAAACTCGAGTCTACGACCACTCAGCAATTAGATACGATTCCCGACAACATAAACTTGCCAGAGGAAGCCAATAAGGCGATCACCGCCCTATCAACAGTTTAAAAATGCTCTCGAAAGGTTTGCGAATCGAGCAATCGACATCTGAAGTTTCCGAGTGACATTCTACAACTGATTGGAGCAAAAACGCGGCCCTTAGACAATATGAATACTACCACACAATATAAAATAAATTTACACTGCGCAATATCCAAAATGAGGTAAAAGAACTCATTAAAGAATATAGATAGGGCAAGTGGGACAATCTGCTGGAAGATGTCGAGCCATCTCACCACTCACTAATGAAAAGTTCGGCTTTAGACCTGAACATTCATGTACTACTCAAATCCACAGCCTTACGGAATACATCCTAGAGGGCTACTACCACTTTATTTCTTTATTTTTTTTATTTTTTTTTAAACCACTCAAGGAGTAGAGGTCGAATCCGTAACACCAGTGTCCTCTTCTTCGATATCGCCAAAGCGTTCGACAAGGTCTGGCACGACGGTTTGCTATACAAGCTGTACAAACTCAACGTGCCCGACAGGGTCACTCACATTAACAGAGCCTTCATTGCCAACCGCCATTTCAGATTTCAGATTGAGGGAACTCGTTCCTCAAAGCGTCTCCTAAGGGCTGAAGTCCCTCAGGGCTCCGTTCTTTTCCCACTCCTCTTCACACTCTGCACGAGTGACATCCTGAAAGACCCAGTAGTTAACACCTATTTGCCCTATTTACCGACGACACGGCACATTACTTTTCACATTTCAGTAAGCCATTCCTCACAAAGATGCTCAAAAGAGAAGTCAATCGCTTAGGCGTATGGTTTCGCTTATGGAGAATTGAAGTGAACCCTGAAAAAGGTATAGCAATATACATTCAAAGAAGACCCTCTCTCAGTTGTCGTAACCTTAATTCAAAAAATACACCAGGCACGATCATCCTATTCGGCCGCCAGATCCCATGGCAATCATATCAGGATATTAAGGAATTTATGGATGATAATAACCCCTGGGAAGGGTGATCGCTACCAAGCTATTTCTAATTTGTCTTGTTTTAATTGTAAACATAATTGTAAGCTATTATTGGAAAAAAATAGTCCCGCTGGGTTTCTTGCTGGTTCTTCCCAGGACAGAGGTTTCTTTTGCGAACCAGTGGTAAATTAAAAAAGTGACTTTCAATAAGTATTGTTATAATCTACATTGAATAAAAAAGTTTCTGTTTCTGTTTCTAAATCAACCGCCAAATATCTAGGAGTCACATTTGACCACTCCATGACCTTCGCGAAACACCCGCTAGTTAACAACAAGAGCAAACTGTTCCAAAGAAACAAGCTCCACCTCTTCAAAGCTTGCGTAAGATCTATCATGTCCTACGCAAGCGTAGCATTCGCACACATAGCTCCCGAACGTCTGACCGACAAGTCGTCCAAAATAGATTCATTCGCATCGCCACCGGAGCTCGGTGGTACCAGCGTAACTCGGATTTACACTGAGATTGTCAACTTCCAAAGATCTCTGAATACTTCAATGAAATGTCTCGGTGCTATTTTGAGAACGCTGAGATATATCCCAACCTGCTAGTGGTACACGCAACAACCTACGCTCCAACTCAAAACGTTATTAAGCAAAGTCTACGAAGGCCTCACAACGTTTTAATTGAACCTCAGTTCCACTAGATTCCGATGACATAAACGACGCTGGCCCATCACACACAGATACTACACACACACCTAGTGCTACAAATACTGGACAATAGTTAGGATACAGCGATCCCGCAGACGAGCCCGCCGCGTACCCCTCCATACCGCGCTCACACCGTACACTTGCGTCCCTGAGCGGTTCTCACCGCCCAGAACATCGAACGATACGAGTTAGTCGTCAGAGCCGGGGCCCGCCACCCCCTGTGGACGGCCGTTAGATAACTCTACCACGTGCACTGTACAGTAATAGGAATCATCGTTAGGCAGGTAACGATGCGGAGTGTATGAATTTACATTCACTTTTTCAAATAAAAAGCCCGCGGCCGCTGCGCGGCGCCGAAAGGCCGCTGGCCCTGAGTCATATGAAGCTGTGAGAACTGCATAGGCTAGCAGCATCAACATCATCGAAACCAGTCACACTTCAAATAATCTTTACACTGTGCATGTTTTAATATTACATAAAAATTCGATCGACGATCACTTATTATCAATATGTATCAGAATATACAAATTGTAATACATTTAAGGATTTTCTCCGAATTATGTTTAAAAACGGAATATAAAAAAAAATACGTGTGGCACTCGGGGACTGCCGCGGTAAAGCTATTGCATAGCATTTTTATCAACTTATGCAATTATAATTATTTATTTATTTAATTTATGCAGTTAAGTCTTTGACATTAAATCAAGTTACACTTTTTGAGCGTGGTGACCGATAAGAAAACAATTTTTTTTTCTCTTGTTGAATAAATGAGAAGTTAATATTGTTTAAAATATTTTAATATCTTACAATACATGTAGGTTATTCAGGAATTTTTATCATTGAGTTAGCAGCTAGTGTACACGCATACGTCTAGTCGCACGCACACAAACACCGTGCCGAAGTCTGCCGAGTGCCGAAGTCTGCCGAACTGAAACGACGTTAGACGATGCACGGCTTTCAACGCCACACCTCCGTGCCCGTCGGAGTGGGGAGCGTGAGGTTTTTTTCGTTACGGAATTTCTGGATTCGGTCCCCGCGCTGAAGACCCGCGATAGAAGCTATGCAATAGCTTAAAAAAACACAATTTTGATAATTTTGCTCGGTACATAACTTGGCTTACATTTATAACTTCTTAGGTTTTTGGAAACTCTGTTATTTTAACACATTTATTTGGAATAATGTTAAATAAAATTATACACACGATTATGAATCATAGATTATGAAACGGTATCTACATCATAGAACTTTTAACTGATTCAACAAAACTTTTAGAAGATACGGTTTAAAACGTTATTAAATGTTAAATTCAAAGTATGTACTTAATATCTTATATTATCTATCTAGACGGCTCCGTGGCGCACTGGCTCAATAATGAGTTACAGCGCTGAGGGCCGCGGGATCGACACCTGCACGGGACAAGTATTTGTATGGCCTACAAGTAATTGTTTCGGGTCTGGATGTTTATCCTTGTGAATTTTATGTTTGTAAATTGCCTCCACGGTACAGGAGAAAATCCTAGTTTGAAGGTAACGTTTTAAAAAAAGAACTAAAAAGCTAAAGATTGAAGAGGGCTTAAGGATTGAGAGGAAGATGTCAAAATTTGCTTCTAACGGCTCAAAGTTTTATATCAAACTTGCTTGCCGGGCAGACGTTGTTCTGCCCTTCTCGACTACCCTTTGTCATGTCCTATTAAAAATCCTAAAATTCGCAAAAAAAAATTGAGACCCACTCATGGGCAAAAAAACTATCATATCTCTCAAGTTGGACCAAACTGCATACGTTGTGCAATTTTAATTAATTTTAAAGTTAAGTAGTTTAGGAGTCCATCGCGGGCAAACAACGTGACACGTAATTAATATATATTAAGATTAGACCATATTGGTCGGAGGAATTGCAGTCGAGTCGCTAGTCTTATCCAAGGTTAATTATGCTGATGCTGTGTGCGGTCCACGTTTACTGGCCAAAACGGAGTGAGTTGTTCAGCGTTTTCAAAACGCTTGCGCTCGTTTTTGTTTCTCAGTTCCCTTTCAGAGGTATGTTACTCGTTTTCGAATGATCACTCCATACTTAAAATGAAGACGGAAATTGCGTCTAGCATTTTAGCGTCATGAAACATCAACAACCGCCGTGTACGACAAATTTGTCTCTCGAGAAACACTTGTAGAAAAAATATCTGTAACAGATAGACAGACAGCCAGCGAAGTAATGTTTGAAATGAATTTTTTGTTTGAAAGAATGTTTGAAAAGAAAAAAGTGCACCACAAATAATTACACTTTTGAAAAAGCTACACGTAACACGTTGCGCTTTCATCATCGTCTTATTATGGCTTACACTTTTTATGGCTAATGGATATAAGTTTAAGGTTATATGGTTTACCATTTACAGCACAAAACAAAACTTTTAGAAGATACTGTATAAAAACATTAATAAACGTTAAGTTCAAAATATGTACCTAATATCTTTATATACATATATAAATAGAATTGTCGTCTAAGATACAAGTAATATGTAAAACTGCGTATTGGGACACTCAACGAGAAGTTCCAATATAGGAGTCACAAGCAGACGAAATTACAGTGATCGGTGTGAGGGGTTTGAGGAGAAAATCGCCGCAAGTGAGGGATCGACGTCCGTGGCGCCAGTGCGAGGCGCCGCGGGACGAACTGCACGCGTCACCCAGCGAGCGCTCCCTCACGCGAGCAACTTGCAAACTTGCCGACTCTATGTAATCCGATACATCAAATTATCGTCATCTCTAATTCAGGGTCATATAATTAACATAAGTGATTAATTACTTAATTAAATTATAAAAGTTTACCCATATTTTTATCATTTGACAGTGACTGTGAAAGAACTAACTTAATATTACACAATAAACAAAAGTACATAAATGTGTAGGATGTGAAGCGGTGAACATTTTGGCGGCAACAATGTTGCTCGCCGCAATGGTACCTTTACTGTTGGCAGTGATTGTTTCTCCACCTGTAACCTTTACTCTCGATGAAACAACTGCTGCTCCCTTGAATATTTCTTTTACAGAGTACTCGTTTGCCAACCACATAAGATTCATAAGAGAGTCCCGATTACTTATAGGACCTTTTGATTTAAAGAGAAAACTTAAGAAGAAACTTAATACACAGCAAGATTTTCATCAGCCGAGTGCTTCGCCTCTTCGTTCTGATGGTTTTTCTTTAATTGACAAACCTACAATTTACACAAACAATTCCTCTCAAACAAACTCAGTTAACATAATAACTACAACAGAAAGTATCGCGATATCCACAACATCAGTAGAATCTACTATAATGGAAAAGGTGCAGAGTGAAGGAACGACGGAAACCTCTAAATTATCGAGAAAGTCTAAAGCAACAAAAATTTCACGCAAAACTAAAACTAAGATACCAATAGGAGTAACTGATGACGAAGCAGCATGGCCGGGGAAACGAGCGGCGGTCGTGGAGGGCGACGTGCTGCTTGGCGGGCTTATGATGGTGATATGAATCAATACTCGTTTAAATAACTACATTTCATTTTAATTATTTTGCAACACGATTATTTGTAATACGATATTTAATGTGTACATTATTTATATTTATCATACAAATTATTTCAAATAAATATAATTTAATCAAAAACTAAAATACTCTTTATCGAGTTCTTTATAATAAAGTGAAATCGCTCTCATTTATTTTCGCATTTGTGAAATAAGGTTTTATGTAATAAACAATGGGCAACCTTTTAATAGAAATAAATATATTTATTAATCTTTTACTGTCCTGAAATGTAAATATTGTAAGGGTTGAATTTTCTTTTGATAACCTGCATACCAGTATTTATTCTGTATTTTGCAGATGAATTACAAACTTAGCATAGGTACAACGTTATAGGTCATATATATATATATATATATATATATATATATATATATATATATATATATATATATATATATATATATATATATATATATAAGTTGTTGCAAGTGAAATTTTGCCCACTATCCAAAGAGCTGCATTCAAAAGTTTAACCGTGTCACATTGTTACCACACCGTTATGAGAAATGAAAAAATTATATGAACATCTACTGAAAAAATATGATTATAGTAACAGCACAAATAGGTAAGCTGAACAGAGTAAGTATAATGGTCGCACATAATAGCAACGTGATACAGCGGCCAAATGTCCCTTTATGTTGGTAACGAGACATTTTATCTTAGTCCTTACAACGCATCTGCACTTGATTCTTAAGCGAGGATATATGTAGAAGTCGAAAGGCCATAACATCGTGTTGACTGACATTCACGAATATTGCAACCAAAACAAATTTATCAAAAAGAAATTTAACTTTGCCATTAAAACTTCTTCTAAATGAACTTTCACAGCAAAGTTCAAAGAATTAAGTTCATCATGTTGAAGTTATTCGAACTGTATAAAAATGAGATAAGACTAGTTCTTGGCGACTAAAAGATTTTTATATCTACGCGATAAAACGCATTCCCCCGTGACCGCTGCTCTATGGACACTAGAAACGAGGAAATTTCTTTAAAATTAGTTGTATTCGATAAAAAAGGACTACAGTTCGTTTCATATGAGAATAATAAATAAAACTAAAAAAAAGTAGTAAAGTTACAGCCTATATACGTCCCACTACTGGGCACAAGCCTCCACTCATTTCTGAGAGGGTTTTAGGACAAGGAAGTGTCCGCCACGCTGCCCCAATGCGTGTTGGCGAACTTCACAAGTCTTCGAAATATATTTTTTTGTTATTTGTCAGACATTATATGTGGAAGAACCATGCTGCAATTGTATTAGTAGTATAGTTGTAGCACGAATGGCTCGACCGGGGAAGGACTACGGTCTCACAGAATACCAGCGTTTAACAGTAGCTTAATTCTGCTGTGTTTCGTATGGTGAGTGTAGAGAAACGGATACTCTTTTAACTGGAAACGAGCATTCCATCTTAGTCCTCATGGTGACAACGTATCTGCATTTTGATTCGTAATCGAGGATAGACGTAGACGTCTATGGGCCACAGCAACCACTTACCATCAGGTGAACTGTGTGCTCGTTTGTCACCCCATCCTATAAAAAATGCAGGTTTCCTCACAATGTTTTTCTTTCACCGCCGAGCACGTGGTAAAACCTTACTTAACATTGCAATTTACAATTTCATTGGTGCCGGTCGATCATCGAACTCGGTTTGCTCGCGCGATATTTACAGCGAGCGCTAACCATCTGAGTTACCATGGCTCGATACAATATATATATATATATATATATATATATGTCATATTATAAATACATATACAATAATATATGTCATATTAATTGTATATTTCCAAAGAGGTTAGCTTTAAAATATTTCTTTTATGTCAAAAGTTGCAGGACGTTTTGTTTTAGTAGATATTCGGAAAATAAAAAAACATAATATAAAACTACACATGTTGTAGCTGTCTTTAAAGGTATTAAAGAGGTTTTTTAACTAAGATAGTCCAAATACTTATACTTAAACTTAATACTTCTTGCGCTTAATAAAAGAGAAAAATGTTGCATCCTGCAGGCCAACAATTGAAATCTCAACTAGAGGCCTTTGTTTTATCCACAATTAAAGAAAAGAAAGGTAGTCGGAACAAGTCTGCATGTAGATGTACGAACGAATATAACATTATATTTAAAATTATGAATGTTTAATAGTCTAAAACTATTAGCGAGCGTTTTTTTAAACGTTTTTAATTGTTACTACTACCTAGCACTGAGTTATTTTTGTTTAATCATAACCTCTTGAATGTTTTGCTGCTTAATGGATTTCTCTCATTCTAGTTAAGTAATGACGTTAACTTCATTCTCTGCGGTTGTCAGTCATAGTGAAAGAGTTCCTGCACCGTAGACTTTATTTCTGGTTCATAGATTTTACATGCCTTGGAAAGTTCTTATAAAGCCAATAAGATAAGAGGTGGTGAAGGATTCTATACCGCTCTTCCACGCGGTATGGTATGTTTATGTTCATTAAATTTAATAATTTGTAATAATATTGTAAAATTTAACCCGTTGCTGTATCTTCATCATATATTTATTTATTTATTTACACTTTATTGCACCATAAAAAGATTACAAAGGGCGGACTTAATGCCATTAGGCATTCTCTCCCAGTCAACCCGGGACGTGTGGAAATTATGTGATAGGTGACAAAATAAAATGAACAATAGAGTAAATCAAGGAAAACAACTACTGATAAACTTAAAAACAAACTAATATTATATATACAAATACAATAAACTTATATACTCCTAAATATAATACAGATAATATATAATATATACATACATATTCATAGATACATAAATATATACATATTTTAAATACAAATAGATATATAATATAAACCTATAAATAAAATAACAACAAAGGTAACCAAAATTAACCATATTAACTATCATCTAATATTTTCATAAAATGCTTATGTACCAATCTTTTAAAGGCAATCTTATTAGATGTTTTTCTGACGTTATCGGGCAAGGAGTTCCAGAGCAGTGCAGCCTGAATTGTGAAGGATTTACCAATAAAATTAGTAGAATGTAGAGGGATACTTAGTTTATTATTATATGAGGAACGCAGAGTTCTATCATGCGTTAGGGAAATATATTGAAATTTCTCCTTGAGATAAGAAGGAGTGGTTGGATCATTTAAGATAGAGAAGAGAACAAGCAAAATTCTAGAATCACGCCTCTGTTTAATAGTGAGCCATTTTAGGCGAGAGCGATAGTGAGAAATATGATCAAATTTGCGGAGATTGAAAATGTATCTGACGCAGTTGTTGAGAAGGCGCTCTAGCTTGTTGAGAAGATTTTGGTTTAAATCCGGGTAACACACATCTGCATAATCAATGATTGGTAGTATAAGTAACTGTACAAGCATAATTTTAGTCTTAAAGGGGAGAAAATTTTTCAATCGATAAAGAGAACGTAAAGAACCAGAGACTTTACGACATGTTTCGGAGATATGAACCCCCCAGGACAGAGTACTATCAATATGGAGACCAAGATTTTTAACTGAGGGAGAGAACGGTATCAGACGATCATTATAATAGACGGGAGGTAGACTAGCCGCATCTATTTTAGCAAGCATCCTTGAGCTACCCACAATCATCGCTTGGCATTTCGTAGGGTTGACAGACACTCCAAAACGCATAGACCAATCACAGACTGACTTGAGATTTGAATTCAATTTGTTGATCGCATAATGGATGTCAGAAATGTCAGACTGTACATAAATTTGTAGGTCATCAGCATACAGATGGTACGAACAATCAATATTAGATGTGATGGAATTAATAAAAATAGAGAAGATTAATGGAGAAAGTATACCGCCTTGCGGTACGCCAGAAATCAGGTCAACCCACTGTGAAGTCACTTGCTCCACGTGGACAGACTGTTGACGTCCGCGAAGATAAGATGAGAACCATTCCAGGACTGGCGGTGCAAACCTATAATAAGAAAGGATAGCAAGAAGGATATCATGGTCAACTGTGTTAAAAGCATTGGAAAAGTCAACGAGCACCGCAACTGTAACTTTCTTGTTTTCCATTCCTTCTCTAATGTCTTCAGTTATTTTAAGTAAGGCAGTTGTAGTGCTGTGACCAGGACGAAAGCCGGACTGAAAAGTACTCAGCAGGTTATGTTTATATATGAAATTGGAAATTTGCTTATGAACACAGGCTTCCAAAACTTTAGATAGGAAAGGTAAAACCGATATGGGACGGAAGTGATTGGGAAGTGTTGGATTGGATACTTTAGGAAGGGGTCTAACGAAAGCATTTTTCCACTGACTCGGAAACTGACCCGAGTCAAGCGAAAAATTAACAATATGTGTGATTGCGGAGATAATGTGTTCTAGAATATTAACAATCATGTCTCTGCTAATATCATCGCAACCGACAGCCTTGGATTTTATTGCCAGAAGGATCTTTCTGATTTCATCCTGATCTACAGGATTAAAAAGAAAGACTGGTATGTGTGGAGACGGAATTGAGGATATGTAAGCGACTGTTTGGGATCGGATTGAAAGGTCCAATGCAGAAGCAGAAGCAAAATGAAGATTTAAAGCATCGTGAGAAAGCGATAAACCACAATCCAAAGAGGGTGTTTTGCCCACACCTAGAGAACTAAGAAATTTCCACACATCAGCTGGCGAAGAATTACTTATATTGCTATGGATAAATCGGCGTTTTGCAGAACGTACCATCTGATTGCATCTGTTTCTGGCCTTCTTAAAAGACAACCAGTTTTCCTCAGATCTGCTCCTCTTGAACCGGGCAAATGCTCGATTTCGCCTAGTCATGGCCTTCCGTACCTCTTCAGTTATCCAGGGAGCTGGTGGCCGTCGTAGTTTCACTTTACGTACAGGAGCATGGATATCATACAAAACATGAATTATGTTATTGAAAATAGTTACTTTATCATCTACTGTTGATGCAGTTGCTAATGGCGTAAAATCTATAAGCGATGCGTCTTTCAAAAGCTTATCCATATTAATTCTACTAAAATTACGTAGGAATAGTACAGTAGGTCGATATTTGGGAGGTTTGAGGTTGTATGATACATAAATAAGATCATGGCGGGAAAATCCCGGCGCTTCAAGTTGCCCATATGACAGCACCCTGTCAGAGGGGTCAGTTATAATGAGATCAATCAGAGAGTCATCAGTGTCTATATTATGATGAGTTGCCTTTAAAGGAAGAATGTTGAGATTGACAGACTCAATGATTTTACTAAGCTTTTGAGACCGGACTGAATTTTTTCAGTAAATCCGTGTTGAAATCTCCCATGATTATGCAGTGGGTGTACTCAGAACCAATGTTATCAAGAGCCTCTTCTAAATTGGCGAAGTAATCAGTGGAAGGAGTACAATACACTGCTCCAAGAATCATCCTTGAGCCCTTTACATCAAGTTCTATAAAAAAGAAATTCTGCGGAAGCAGTGTAAGGAAAAGGGGATGCTAATATGATTTTGTAGGAGATAGTAGCGTGGAGATATATTGCAACCCCACCTCCTCCTTTATCTATACGATCATTCCTAATCAGCACAAACCCAGGAAGAGGATACAATGCCGAATTTAAAGACGGTTTCAACCAAGTTTCTGAAACTAAGATAGCATGTATATTGTTGTTAGAGAACGATGCTTCTAGCTCAGAAAAGTGGCTGGGAATGCTTTGTGCGTTAATATGGCAAACATTTAACGTTCTATCAAAAAAGTGAAAAATGCTATTCAATTGGCTACTTAAAGAGGGCACACTATAATTCATCTGATCGTCAAACGATTCAAAAGAACTCTCTGACTCAATAGAGTAAAAAGAGTCAGAGTCAGACATGATAAGTTAAAAGCATAATATACCCAATATAAAAATAAATAAAATAAAAATATATAAAAATACGATATTAAATAAAAATATTTGTCAATAATATATATAACAAAAATACTACCAAGATATAAAAAAAAAACAATGACCTAAATAGTAATAAATCATTAAACATCATCCCACCAGTTAACTGTTTACATAATATAATCAGTACTAAATAACAAATAAAACAATTGTACATAACTATCAATTAAAAAAAAAAAACATAAGCTAAGTAATTAAATAACGTGCCAACACAGTGATTCAATTATAAACAAAAATAACATAAATATTAAAATAAAACAACTAAATATTTTAATAGCAGGGCTTTACAGAATTAATATATATATATACTTGCAACAACTTATATATATATATATATATATATATATATATATATATATATATATAAGTTGTTGCAAGTGAAATTTTGCCCACTATCCAAAGAGCTGCATTCAAAAAGTTTAACCGTGTCACATTGTTACCACACCGTTATGAGAAATGAAAAAATGATATGAACATCTACTGAAAAAATATGATTATAGTAACAGCACAAATAGGTAAGCTGAACAGAGTAAGTATAATGGTCGCACATAATACCAACATGATACAGCGGCCAAATGTCCCTTTATGTTGGTAACGAGACATTTTATCTTAGTCCTTACAACGCATCTGCACTTGATTCTTAAGCGAGGATATATGTAGAAGTCGAAAGGCCATAACATCGTGTTGACTGCATGCTCAGTTGTCATCCTTACTCCATAAAATAACAGCTTGATGCTGCTGTGTTCCGTGGTTAGTGTAGAGAACTGGAGACCCCTTTCATTTCATACGAGACATTTCATTTCTGAGGCAGTCCTTAGGAGTGATAACTTGAATTTTGATTCTTAATTGACGAGAACTGTAGATGTCTATGGGCTACAGCATCCACTTACCATCAGGTGGACTGTGAGCTCGCTTGTCACACTTATTCTATAATTAAAATATAAAGTTAAAAGTAAGTAAAGTATAACAAGGCACGGTGCTTATACTCATTATGATGCTTTTGAATTATCTTTAAATAAATTACTTGAAGCTAGACAATTTATGTTACAAAAATATCTTATCCTTATATTTATCTTCTATTTTATTTTTCTTGATTGTAACGTTAAATATTAACTGTATTAAATTATAACAAACAAATTTACGAGGTTACGTCCTCATAAAATTTAAATGAATCGAAAAGAACACAGAAGTTATTAATCTAAAAATTAAGTACCCATAGCTATGCCTATGGATTGTTTATTTCACTATTGTTTATTAAAACATTATTCCCCGCACACTAGGATTGTTTTTGTATCATATAAGCATTTTACGTTAATGTTTTATGAAGAAGGATAAATATCCAGATCCGAAATAATTTGTTTTTAGTACCTACACGTACAGTGGGGGATTAGTACACGTCGCAACTCAATATACAGATAATATATAACATAATATACAATAGATCACAAAGGAAATCACTATATGATGAAGATACAGCAACGGGTTAAATTTTAAAATATTATTACAAATTATTAAATTTAATGAACATAAACATACCATACCGCGTGGAAGAGCGGTATAGAATCCTTCACCACCTCTTATCTTATTGGCTTTATAAGAACTTTCCAAGGCATGTAAAATCTATGAACCAGAAATAAAGTCTACGGTGCAGGACCTCTTTCACTATGACTGACAACCGCAGAGAATGAAGTTAACGTCATTACTTAACTAGAATGAGAGAAATCCATTAAGCAGCAAAACATTCAAGAGGTTATGATTAAACAAAAATAACTCAGTGCTAGGTAGTAGTAACAATTAAAAACGTTTAAAAAAACGCTCGCTAATAGTTTTAGACTATTAAACATTCATAATTTTAAATATAATGTTATATTCGTTCGTACATATACATGCAGACTTGTTCCGACTACCTTTCTTTTCTTTAATTGTGGATAAAACAGGCCTCTAGTTGAGATTTCAATTGTTGGCCTGCAGGATGCAACATTTTTCTCTTTTATTGAGCGCAAGAAGTATTAAGTTTAAGTATAAGTATTTGGACTATCTTAGTTAAAAAACCTCTTTAATACCTTTAAAGACAGCTACAACATGAGTAGTTTCATATTATGTTTTTTTTATTCTCCGAATATCTACTAAAACAAAACGTCCTGCAACTTTTGTCATAAAAGAAATATTTTAAAGCTAACCTCTTTGGAAATATACAATTAATATGACATATATATATATATATATATATATATATATATATATATATATATATATATATATATATATTTGTATCGAGCCATGGTAACTCAGATGGTTAGCGCTCGCTGTAAATATCGCGCGAGCAAACCGAGTTCGATGATCGACCGGCACCAATGAAATTGTAAATTGCAATGTTAAGTAAGGTTTTACCACGTGCTCGGCGGTGAAAGAAAAACATTGTGAGGAAACCTGCATTTTTTATAGGATGGGGTGACAAACGAGCACACAGTTCACCTGATGGTAAGTGGTTGCTGTGGCCCATAGACGTCTACGTCTATCCTCGATTACGAATCAAAATGCAGATACGTTGTCACCATGAGGACTAAGATGGAATGCTCGTTTCCAGTTAAAAGAGTATCCGTTTCTCTACACTCACCATACGAAACACAGCAGAATTAAGCTACTGTTAAACGCTGGTATTCTGTGAGACCGTAGTCCTTCCCCGGTCGAGCCGACCCATTCGTGCTACAACAATACTACTAATACAATTGCAGCATGGTTCTTCCACGTATAATGTCTGACAAATAACAAAAAAATATATTTCGAAGACTTGTGAAGTTCGCCAACACGCATTGGGGCAGCGTGGCGGACACTTCCTTGTCCTAAAACCCTCTCAGAAATGAGTGGAGGCTTGTGCCCAGTAGTGGGACGTATATAGGCTGTAACTTTACTACTTTTTTTTAGTTTTATTTATTATTCTCATATGAAACGAACTGTAGTCCTTTTTTATCGAATACAACTAATTTTAAAGAAATTTCCTCGTTTCTAGTGTCCATAGAGCAGCGGTCACGGGGGAATGCGTTTTATCGCGTAGATATAAAAATCTTTTAGTCGCCAAGAACTAGTCTTATCTCATTTTTATACAGTTCGAATAACTTCAACATGATGAACTTAATTCTTTGAACTTTGCTGTGAAAGTTCATTTAGAAGAAGTTTTAATGGAAAAGTTAAATTTCTTTTTGATAAATTTGTTTTGGTTGCAATATTCGTGAATCACGATTTTTCAGTAGATGTCTGCAGTTTTGTTATTAAAGAATAAGAGCGACAAACGAGCACAAAGACCATCTAATGGTATGTGGATACTGTGGTCCATAGACATCCATATTTAAAAAAGTAGCGTTGTCGCCCCTAAGGCTTAAAATGGAATATCTTGTTTCCAGTATAAAGGGGTCTTCGGTTCCCTATAGTCACCACATAATACACAGCAGCAATGGGTTGCTATTTTACGTAGTTATTCTGTAAGAGCTTAGTCCTTCCCCGGTCAAACCCACTCATTCGTACTACAATCTACAATTAGTACAAACTATAGTTTAGCTACAGCATGGCTCTACCACGTTTAAATAGCTATTCCTATGCTAGCCATGCTATAGTATATATATATATATATATATATATATATATATATAGTGTAACTAAAGGAAGGTGTGAAAAATGTGCGTAGGTGCACGGACGTGCGGAAACGACGAGCTGCGGACCGCTGATGGCTCAAGGCGGCGTGCAGGCGCTGGAAGCGATGCTGTTCGCGCTGGACGCGGCCGCGGTGCTGGCGCCCCCCGGCGTGCGCCTCGGAGCGCTCGTGCTCGACGACTGCGACAGCGACACGCGCGGCCTCGAGATGGCGCTCGACTTCATCAAAGGTTATGCCTATTCCACAAAGTGCCCTGTTGTGTAGCGGGTAGAACAATGAACAAAGCAGTACAGAGCAATGAACATTCATATAGCACAGCAGTAGGGCACGGACGACTGCGACAGTGACACGCGTGGCCTTGAAATGCACTCGACTTCATCAAAAGTTAAAACTAAAAACTTGACGGCTTAACGGCTCTGTGGGGCAGCGGCTTAGCAATGTGTTGCAGCATTGAAGGTCGTAAGCTCGAATTCCACGGAACGAGTATTTATATAGACTACAAGTAATTTTCACGTGTTCTGTGTAAACTGCCTCGAAGAGAAAGAAAATAATCCTTTATCCTGGGGGTAGTGCAATGACTGTCTCTTTGCTCAAGTGGTCGAAAACGCAGCTAATAATTTTGATTTCCCGGTTTCGAATCCTTGGTTGGGTTTAAATAAGATATTGTGTTTTTTTTTTTTGACAATAAATTCTTATTAGCAGCATGGTTTCAGAAATTTGTCGGTGTTACACTCCCATGCCTCAGAAATCACATAAAGTCATTGACCCTGCGTTTGATCTCTCTCCATTCGCGTCGGATTACCGTGCCATCGGAATATGAGAGTCAGGGAACAGAGAGTGCACATGTACTTGCCCAGATAGTCGAACACTATAGTCATGACCTGCGCAGATGGCCAGTCACCGTTAAACTAACTGCCTGTGATGTATTGAGATAGAACAATGAAAAAAACAAGATATGGAATATTAGTACAGAACAATAGATATGCATATGGAAAGCACAGAAATAGAGCATAGATGATATAAGAAGTGATATTAAATGTTACTTTTACTTATTTATATACTCCTGATAATATATACACATACTTAACTAACTTACATACTTACATAATACATAAGACTCACGCCAATCAACTAGAGGGGTAGGCAGAAACCACATGCTTCCATATGGCACGATTCTGAGATACCTCTCTCACCTTCAGTATATCCATATACCTACATACCCGGCGGTTAGGGGCTCTTAATTCGGCCCATTTTCAAAATATCGTCAATTTGATAGATAAACCTTCATCTTGGTCATCTCTTGCAGACTCAAACGTTCACTTCTGTACAAACTTTCCCATAGGTATTCCCCTTTTTCATTATCGTCAGTTTCTAGAAGTCCATTAAAGGACATGAGCTACTCCCATTATTAGGAAATCTTGCCAGAATCGTCATGCTTGGGAAATTGTTGATCGTAGTACCAGTTGTCTCATATCTTTGACCCCGGAGCCCGTCAGGTGGTATAACGCCATCTTTTGGAAACCATAACCTTATTTTTGTATTTTCCATTATTCTTTGAACTACCATAGTATACTGCCCTTAGTAATATCCTCCAGAACGAATTTCGATCCGGGCTGCCAGTCTCAACGGTGACTAGTAATCTGCGCATGGCAGGATACAGGTGCACGAGTATGTGTGTAAGCACAGGTGCACTCTCTGTTGCCTTTCCCTTACAGATTGATGGAACGGTTATCCGACAGGCGGCTTACCAGGACACGGAGGTGAAACAATAATGTTTATATCTTATTTCATTTTCTTGATGGTCTAACATCGTATTGCTATTTCTAGGTTCGATCGGTAACATTGACGACGAGGAATATGCATGTAATGCTTCAGCCGTTCGTAAAGTTATCTCAGGAGTGGTGGGCGCCGCATCTAGCGTTACCTCTGTTCAAGTCGCAAACCTGCTGCGTCTTTTCAAAATACCACAAGTGAGTTTAATATAACCTGCTTCGCAGTACTTATATTGTTTGGATTATTAAAATATTCATTTGACGTTTCCTCAGGTATCTTTCTTTTCAACGTCCCCCGAATTATCCAATAAGGCCCGATTCGAATATTTTACACGCACCATTCCTTCAGACATGCACCAAGTGAAAGCAATAGTCGAGATTGTCAAGAAACTTGGTTGGCGTTATGTCTCAATTATCTACGAAGAATCAAACTATGGGATAAAGGCATGTACCTCTCATTCTTCATATTTATATTTCATCGTCAAAATAATTGTCATCACAATTCCTCATACCCTACTACTGAACATACACCTCCCTCAAGGATTATATTTAAAGTCCTAAAGTTACAGCCTATATACGTCCCACTGCTGGGCACTCGCCTCCTCTCATTACTGAGAGGGTTTTAGGGTAAGGAAGAGTCCGCCGCGCTGTCCCAATGCGTGTTGGCGAACTTCATTAATTTTTTTTCTTATTTTTCATACATGCAGGTTTCCTCTGGATGTTTTCCTTCACCGCACGTCACCGCACTTCACCTTTGAGCACGTGGTAAATTAGCACTTAAAATTGCAATTTAGAATTTCATTAGTGCGGGTGGGCTTGAACCCAGGTTGCTCGCGTACTGTGAAATTTACAGCGAGCGCTAACCATCTGAGCTACCACGGCTAGATTCCAACAAAACATATAAAGTCAATATTTTATATTATTCTAAATTTATAAAAGTTAGTAATAGCCGCCAACATTTTAGGCCTTCGAGGAACTAGAAACGATGTTGGCAAGAAATGACATCTGCATAGCTGTGAAGGAGCGGTTAGTAAAAGATTCCGGTGCAGCGGATGATAATGCATACGATGCTATGGTAGAACACCTGCTGACGCGGCCTCGAGCGAGAGGTGTGTGCCGCCATGTTTGCTTTTTGATTACGATGTGATGCGTTGTGCCGAGTAAACATGATAGTGGATTTGTTGTAGGTGTTATCGTGTTCGGATCTGACCAAGAGGTTGCAGGCGTGATGGCTGCAGTACAACGACGTGGAGCTAGTGGTGCCTTCAGTTGGGTGGGTTCGGACGGCTGGAGCGCACGAGCACTCGTCGCCGCCGGCAACGAGCCCGTGGTTGAAGGCACGATTAGCGTGCAGCCGCAAGCCAACCCCGTTAGAGGCTTTCGTGAATATTTTCTTAACCTTACTGTGGAAAAAAACACCAGAAATCCCTGGTTTGTTGGTAATATTTTGACGTCTCCATTTATAAACATTGATATCATTATGGAATAACTTACTTTTCTACTGTTCCTCTTCTTATCGAATTTTTTTTAGAATTTTGGGAGGAACAGTTCAGGTGCCGTTACCCCGGTAGTCCACGTACTCCATTCAATGGAAATTATACGCGTATTTGTACTGGGGAAGAACGCCTCTCGGCTAATAACACTGAATTCGAAGGACAATTACAATTTGTTGCTGACGCTGTGTTTGCTTTTGTGCATGCTATAAGGTAATTTAATTATATTATAAATTATATACTGAAGCAAAATGCAACCAGCCAACTACTCAATATATTGTTTTAGAGATATGCACAGAGATTTGTGTGGAGATAAATTTGGGCTTTGTCAGGAAATGCGGCCAATAAGTGGTCCATTATTATTGCGGTATTTAAGACAAGTACGTTTCATAGGTATGTTTTAACCAATTTTTTTCTATCAAAAATAATGTAAAGTATACTTTTACACAGCTTTATTCATTTCAGGGTTGAGCGGTGATGAGTTTCACTTTGATAGCAACGGTGACGGTCCTGCTAGATACAATATATTACATTTCAAGCAAGTTTCCCTTGGGAACTACCGCTGGTTAAATGTTGGAAGATATCTTGACGGCGAGTTAGAGTTGGACATGGGGGGTAAAATTTTTTATTTTTACCTAAAATATTTGCCTACAAAATTGTCTAAATGTATCAAAGTTCTAGTAAAGCCGTGGTAACTCGGATGGTTATCACTCGCTAAAAATTTCACAATACGCGAGCAAACCGGGTTCAATCCCCGCCGGCACAAATGAAGTTGTTAAGTGCTGATTTACCAAATGCTCGGCGATGAAGGAAAACATCGTGATGAAACCTGAAAAGTGAAGAAAGACATGTGAAGTTTGGCAACACGAAATGGGGCAGCGCGGCAGGCAAGTCCTTGCCCTAAAACCCTCTCAGAAATGAGCGGAGGCCTGTCCGTATTTGCAGGACGTACTAGTAGGCTGTAACTTTAACTTTAATAAATTTCTTAATGTTATTAATCTAAATCATATTGTTAATATTTGATTTGCAACTATGAATGAAATGTTTGCAGTAATCGTGTTCCTTCATCGTTCTATATTAAAATTTATATGATCATAATTTTATGTTACAGTTGGAATAAGCTAAACCCATCTTCGCACGGGTGGCGTAATTTATGAGAACACCAAAAATGATGATCTAGTACAGTGTGATCCATTTACGACTTCGTTACAAAATGACAACATATCTCTATAATATTTGCGGGTGTCAGTAGCAAAATGATAATTTATAATTCATTTTGTCCTTTTTTTTAAAAAAAGCTTAAGTTTTTGAGCGATTTTCGTAATATTTTGGGATTAAACAAAACTTCACAAACTAGCTGTTGGCTCGTTACATTTAAATATTTTAATTTTGTTCAAATGTTATAATTATTTCTATTGTAGCCATCCAGTTTAAATGGGGGGAGCGGCGCCCTCCCGAATCCGTGTGCAGCGCCGAGTGTGAGCTGGGCCAGGCGAAGCAGTACGTCGAGGGCGAGAGCTGCTGCTGGCACTGCTTCAATTGCACACAGTATGAGGTACTCACATTTAAATTGAATAGAACAATTATTATTTAATATATATATATATATATATATATATATATATATATATATATATATATATATATATATATATATATAATTTGTATTGTATTCTTATTGCAAGTTATTTGAGGAACCGGTAAGAAACCCAGCGGGACTTTTTTTTTTCAAAGTAAGTTATACAATATTTTGGAAGGTTGTTGACAAACTATTTGCAAAATTTATTTTAGAAAACTGCTTGGAAGTGACTACCTCATTCCCAGAGGCTATTATCAATAATGTATTAATTTATACAATAGTTATCTTTTTTTATACAGTTTTGTTTAATGAAGTATTTAAACTTGGTAATAGGAAAACCTTGTTAATAGGGAAAAATAAACACTTTGAGCAATAGAATGTGTATGATAGAAATACTAACTCTGTGTAATCGAGTGGCGAGTAAGTTTTCTATGTAACAAGCCAATAACGACTTCTTTCAAATATTAAGTAATACAAGATATCAGTTTGCCTCGTTTCAACAGATAGTAAGTGACTACCACCAGACTTTTTATAAGGTTTACAGGCGGAAAACCAAGGATGGTTTGTGTGGAAAACGCATCTACTAAAACTCTATGGCTTTCCGCCTTCACAACTCATTCTCCACTTACTGTACAGGCAAGAGGAAACACATTGAATGTCGGCGCATGTCATCGGCCTTTTTTTGATTGGAGGCCATAGCTTAAACTGTGTCTCCATACGCATTAAATATGAGACGGTAATTGCAGCTAGTTTATATTCGTTTCATAGTCCTTTGGGGTGTCTGGGACCTACCTTCGAGTAGTCCACCCCAGGCCAGCCACGCGCCCCACGAACTTGCGAAAAATCCCGAAATATTCCACCGTGCCAGTTGACGACTGGCTATTTTAGATGGCCATTTCAAGGGGGAGGGGCTCGTACGTCTCAGCGGTCTCCGAACGAGTTGATATTGAGCGACGCCTCGAATTCTCAACTGTTTCCCCACCAAAAAACACCGAATCAAAATGAAAAAAGTTAAATAGAAGAACATGGTAAATCAGCGGTGGCACTTCCTCTCGCTTAAAGTGCAAGCTGCACCTATTCTTCTTAACGGAGATGCAGATAGCAACTCCGAGTGGCGTACGTAAATTCAAACAGCGCTTTGGGGTTTGTGTGTACGTCTGCGATGATATTTGCTGTCGGCATCTTCGTTGCTTTGAGGTTACAGGATTCTCTGCAATGTGGCTTCTGGTGAACACCGGTTTAGAGACAACCCTCTAATCCAGTGTCTTTCAAACGCACAGCGGAGACCAGGACACAACCATGCCCATTGAATATCTGACAGGGATAGCAAACAAAGCCCAACAGTGATACCCGTCTGCGGAGATAGTTTTTTCCAGGGATTTGAATGCCGGCCCATCGTGGCAGCAAGTGTGATTCTCTTCGGATGAACCCTCCTGCTCTGACTATGTAGTTGCGGATGTGATACAGCAGGGAATAAAATATATTATTCCGTAATTTAATATCCTACTCGGTAACAAGGTCCGGCCCTTGTATAATGCGGACTGTGCTCGTGCTGAGGCCAACAAAGAGTCCGCCTACTAGGTCTAGGTTCTAGCTCACATTCATAAGATAGGGCTCAGTGAGTTCGTGCGAAGAAGATAACTTTTAATTCTGCTGCCAAGTCCTGCAAGTGGGTTCTTGGCAGGGTACGATTCGACTACGTCATCGTATAGGGGCTCGACCTTCTTCCTACTCTCCTGGTAGTAAACTATTTTGGTCTCACTTCTGCCGTCCCTCTTTGCCACCCATGCAGAAACGTGATGAAACACTGGCTCAGTGCGCGACTGAGAAAGTAAATTTATTTGCGTCCCTATTTGCAAGCAATTCTCGTCTAGCCTCTCAGTCCCCAAGCGATCGGATCCGACCGCGACACTATTCCGTCAAACTCCCACGTGGTAGGATGTGACCGCACACACCCACAGCATTCTAAACCATTAAAACTTATGTTTACAGACTGCTTTTCTATGAAGAAGTTGGGCACTATAGAATCAATATAAAATACTCTCTCTATCTTCTAGTGCAATAAAAATCAAGTTATCCTGTGGATATTTATTTATAATCTACGTTCATTTCGTACGCCATTTTCGCGTGAATGTTGTTGTGTTGATTTTTGAATTTTTCTAATGTTTTATTAGTGTTTTGGTAGAGTGTTTTATTATGAAATTGTATTGAAACTTTTTGTGTAAATATAATTTATTAAGCTATCGCATAGCTTCTATCGCGGGCCTTGAGCGCGGGGACCGAATCCAGAAATTCCGTAACGAAAAAAAACCTCACGCTCCCCACTCCGACGGGCACGGAGGTGTGGCTTGAAGGCCGTGCATACACGGTGTATGTGTGCGTGCAAATAACAAACACACACACGCGTATAGTTTAAATTCTCAATTTAGATTCTCAATATGTATATACAGGGTCATTTTTAGTTTACTGAAGACCTTTGGGGAATATATTATTTACACCATAACAACAACATCTGTAAGAAAAAAAATATATTTCTTCAATTTTTATTTTCATACAAAAATAAAAATAATACGTGTGGCACTCGGTGACTGCCGCGGTAAAGCTATTGCATAGCATTTTTATCAACTTATGCAATTATAATTATTTATTTATTTTATTTATGCAGTTAAGTCTTTGATATTAAATCAAGTTACACTTTTTGAGCGTGATGACCGATAAGAAAACAATTTTTTTCTCTTATTGAATAAATGAGAAGTTAATATTGTTTAAAATATTTTTAATATCTTACTATACATGTAGGTTATTCATGAATTTTTATCATTGAGTTAGTAGCTAGTGTACACACACACACAAACACCGTGCTGAAGTCTGCCGAGTACCGAAGTCTGCCGAACTGAAACGACGTTAGACGATGCACGGCTTTCAACGCCACACCTCCGTGCCCGTCGAAGTGGGGAGCGTGAGGTTTTTTTTCGTTACGGAATTTCTGGATTCGGTCCCCGCGCTCAAGGCCCACGATAGAAGCTATGCAATAGCTTAATATTTTAATTGGAGCTTCTAAACGGTAATAGTCCTAGTTAGGCAGTTAGCAATAAAAATCGCGTGGCGAGGGAGGGGTGGAGGGGTGTAGGAGGCGACGATACTCATAAACCTAATTAGTAACGTGTGTCGTCAGTCGCCTTTGATGCGCCCGCGACGCTTGTCTTTTCGTTGTGAGATTATTGTGAACGTTACCTTGTTACGATGGCATACCGATACTCAAATTTTGAGTATACCGAAATGGTGCGAATTTTAGCAATTTGCAATGATAACGTTAGTGAAGCCTGCCGTGAATATTCAAGGCGATTTCCCAACTCAAGTGCACCGTGCTACGCTACGATGCTAGGCACTACACAGCGATTGCGAGATTACGGGCAATTCCAGCCTGTATCAATCGATCGTGGTCGTCCACCGCCGCGCACAGTACGTGAGCAGGAAGACATACTGCAGTTTTTTGAAGACAATCCAGCAGCAAGCACTTATAAAGTAGCCCGACAGTTCAATGTGTCACAATATTACGCATGGAGTATCATACAAAATGAAGGGAAGTACCCCTTTCACCTGCACCGTGTTCATGAACTCAGCAAAGCTGACAAACCTGCGCGAGTTACATTTTGTAATTGGTTACTAGCTGCTGAACGAGCTAACATTTTATGGACTGATGAAGCAACATTTGGCAGGATAGGGCTATTTAATACGCACAATGAACACTTGTGGTGCTATGAAAATCCACATGAACCAAGACGACATAGCTTTCAACACCGGTTTAGTATCAATGTGTGGACAGGCCTTATTAATACAACGTTACTGGGCCCCAGTTTTCATAGAAAGATTAAATGGTGAAAGCTATCACAATTTTCTCACCGACACGCTGCCGGAATTGTTAGAGGATATACCACTTACATCTCTACGCAATATTTATTATCAACTTGACGGGGCACAGGAGCATTATGCTCGTCAAGTTAAGGATTATTTAAACAGAAAATACCCTGGACGCTGGATCGGACGTGGCGGGCCTTGTGCATGGCCTTCCAGATCGCCAGATATCACACCAATGGATTTTCATTTGTGGGGGCATGTAAAGACATTAGTGTATACTGGTCGCACACTCGAAACCCGCGACATGTTGAAAGAAAAAATAATTTGGGTATTCGATCAAATCAAAATGAATACTCAACTTTTATCTCGTGTCGGTGAACAGTTAACTTTTAGTTGTCACCTATGCATAGAATGTGGAGGTGATTATTTTGAACGCTGTGTGCGCGATACTCACCGCCATCCGCGGATGAGTACCTCTAATTCTAATGTATAAATTTGTATTTTAATATTTTTATTGAACCCTTTTTACCTAAATATTTTTATTCAGTTACTGTTGTAAAATGTGTGTTAATATCTGTATTTAATCATTATAACTACTTTATTGTAATATTTGTAATTATTTTAGCCCGCATCCATTTTTTAAATACAACTTGCATTTGATAAATAAAAAGTAGCTAATAATACTCGACATTTAATTTGCACGTGCTGCGAACTGAAAAGGGCCGGCGGCGCCTTTGATGACGCCTGTATCGACGTCAAAGTATACCTTTGGTTTGGCCTTGGGCAGTGATCGTAACAAACTACCTAATTGTTTATTAATTCGTAAACAAATTAATAAAATAATCATCAAATTGCTTTATGCAAAAAAGGAGTATATGAAAAGTTAATGTAAATTTGTCATTTGGAGTGGCGCCCTGGTACCATAGGCACAGTGGTGAATAGTTTAGTAGGCAGTATAAAAAAGTACTCTGCGGGCAGTAGGCACTCGCGACACAATCAGCTGAGTGCGAGCGTCGACCGGCGCGGCGGCGCGTCGAAGAGGTTACTTTATAATTACCTATTGCTCATTTTAATATCTGTGATTTTTTTTAATGTTATTTGCCTATCTAATTATGTATATTGATTTTTCAACATGATGTGTGATACTGATATCAAGT